AACACAAATACAGCATGATCTCATTTACATGTAGAATCTAACAAAGTTTAGCTCAAAAAAGAAGAAAGTGGAATACTGGTTAGTAGAGGTCATATTATATACCTATATTAAAACATCACATTGTACCCTATAAATGTGTACATCCCTAATTTGTCATTCTAAAATACTAGCAATATTAAAACAAAATAAAGGAGAGAGAGAGAAACTCTAAGAAATTTGATGAGAGAAACAGTTTTTTCATCTTAAAATTTCAGGAAACACGTACATGTACATTTTTATTTCAACTGGCTTGCTCATTTCCTGATGTAGGTAAGTAAAAATATTATTATCATAAATAGTCTGAACACAACATTCTGGAATAAAATGTTGAGTTTTAATGCTCAAAATAATGTAATACTTTAAAAGAAAGACTCTGAAGCAACTGTTTAGAGTAAAATTCTCTAAGTCTCTATAAATAATTTCCTTCACATGTTGAAGAAGAAAATTTATTTGAATATATATATTTTAAACTATTTAAATAAACAAGTGAACACAAATATAAAATTTATTAAATAGATGAAAAAACAATTTCCTTCTTCTCTACTTTTAAAACTGATGAACACCCAGCATTTAAGTGCTTATTTACATAGTGTTACTGGAGTGTGAGTAGGGATCAATATGAAATCTTTTCATATTTCTATTTATGCTGTCTATTAATACATGGAAAATTTCCAGCCTGTATTATATTCCAGATTAACTGATAAAAATAAAAATAAGTTACAAACTACTAATGTGGCCACCTTTTTTTCAGGATTAGAATTTATTATGATTTAAAAGAATCAACAAATAAGAGCTTATACATTTTCTGTATAATTGCTCTGTGCTGAGCACTATTCTGGGACCTTTATTTGCATTAATTCCTTTCAAGCAATTCTTCTGCCTTAGCCTCCACAGTAGCTGAGATTACAGGTGCATGACACCATGTCCAGGTATTATTTTTTTTTGTTTGTTTTGCATTTTTAGTAGAGACAGGGTTTTGCCATGTCAGTCAGGGTGGTGTCAAACTCCTGATTTCATCATTCTCCCTCTTTGGCCTTCCCAAGTTCTGGGATTACAGCCATAAGCCACCATGCCTGACCAATGTCATGTCTACTTGCCTTACCACTAGATTTTAGATGCTGTCTTTGTAGAAACTAAAAGTACCATGATTAACTCGGCTTTATTTTCTGCCTTCCTATTTCACACAAACACAGCAGCACAACAAAGGCCATTAATGGTACATTTTTATTGTTGTTGAGATGGGGTCATGCTTGTCACCCAGGCTGGAGTGCACTGCTGTCACCTACACTCACTGTGACCTCTGCCTCCTGGGCTCAAGTGATTCTTCTGCCTCAGACTCTCGAGTAGGTGAGATTACAGGTGTACCCAAGCATGCTCAGCTAATTTTGTCTTTTTAGTAGAGATAGGGTTTCATCATCCCAGGCCTGAACTTTTGACTTCAGGTGATTCACCTATTGTGGTCTGGGATTACATGCATAAGCCATTGCACTTGGCCAGAAATGCTACATTTTGATTTAAACACACCAGTATCCTTCTAGGGAGAATATATGTCTGAGCATATTACTTGAAATTCACAAAATCTTTTGTTAAATTAGAGACTTTTATATGGCAAATAATAAGGAAAAACAGCTAACACTGCAATTGAATCAGAAAAGTAGTCTAAAAATACTTCTAATCCATTGTTCTTTTTTTCATCAGAATAATTGTGATGGAGTGAGCATTTGAAGCAGTGTGGTCTCAAATAACTCAGTCTGTTTCATAATTTTGGGGCTATGCCTATAAGACTCCTATGCATTTTTTAAAAATGTTTCCTTTTCCTAATTCAGCAATTTAGCATAATTTTCATAGACTAATATTTTCAAAAACAGTTCATTCTTAAAAAGAAGTGATTAAACAACACACCATGTTTCTCCAAAGAGTAGAGTTACAAATTTGCTCTATAGTCTACTGTACAGATAAATGAAAAATAAAAATGTAGAGTAATTTATTTTAGCTGCATACCCACTTCTTGGGCTATAGGCCAAGAGCTTTTAGAGACAGTAGCTTATAGAGTTCAAAGAGACCTGGTAAACATTCATTTCTATGGTCTAAAGAGTGAGTAATTCTTTCACCCCTAATTACAACAATTGGCCCAGAACTGAAGAAATGCAACATGTAATTATCCCAGAAAGAATTTTATTATTATTTTAAATTCAGAGGGTACATGAGCAGATTTATAACGTAGGTATATTCCATATTGAAGTTTGGGCGCTTAATAATGCCATTGCCCACATAGTATATATCCTGTCAAAAAAGTGTCTCAATACTTTTTTTTTTCATCTCTTTAAAAGTCCCAGTGCTTATTCTTTTCTTGTTTCCATCTGCACCCAATGTTGAGCTCCCACATGGCATATTTGCCTAGGATAATGGCCTTCTGCTGTATACATGTTGGTGCAAAAATAATTATTTATTCTTTTCTCTGGCTGCATAGTAATGCACAGTATATAAGTACCTAATTATTCTTATTCAATCTAAGATTCATAAGTATCTCGTTTAATTCTATATCTTTGCTTTTATGAATAGTGCTGCAATAAACATGTGCTTGTTAAGTGTCTTTTTGGGAAAATAATTTATTCTCCTTTGGGTATATACATACTGAAGAGATTGATGAGTCAAATGGCAATTTGATTTTTAGTTATTTGAGAAATCTCCAAATTGCTTTCCAAATTCTCACCAACAGTGTATAAAAATGTTCTTTCCTTCAAAACTTCAACATGTTATTTATTCATTTTTTTAATAACAGCAATTCTAACTGTGTATAATGGTATCACATTGTCATTTTGAAGTACATTACTCTATTATAAATATTGAGCAATTTTTTGCATATTTATTGACAGCTCTTACGTCTTTCTTTGAAAGTGCCTATTTCATTTGTATCCTTTTTTCTTACTAAGTTTCTCATAAATTCTGTATATTGATCCTTTTTATATGCAGTTTACAAATATTTAATTTTATATTGCAGGTTGTCTGTTTACTTAGTTAATAGTTTCTTTTGCTGTGTATAAGTTCTTTAATTAGATGGCAATTTTTGGTTTTTGTGTTGCACTCACTTTTAAAATGTTAGTCATAAATTTTCTTTAGGGGCCAGTATCTAGAAAACTTTCTAGGTGTTTATCTAGGATTTTTATACCTTGAAGTTTTAGTTAAGTTCTTAATATATCTTCAGTCATGTGTTTTATATGGTAAGAAGTAGGAGTCCAGTTTTCTTCTTCTGCATATAACTAATCACTTTTCTCAGTACCATTTATTGAATAAGAAGTTAATTCCCATTCATTTATTTCTGTTGAGTTTGTCAAAAATAAGTTGGTTGTAAAAGCATAGCTTTATTTCAGGGGTATCTCATCTGTTCCAGAGACATATATAGATATATAGTATGTGTGTGTATACATATATACTTGTTAAAACAGATGAGACCTCTGAAATATTCAGAAACCCCTGAAATAAAGCTTCGCTACAACCAACTTATTTTTGGCAAACAGAAATAACATGGTTGTTACAACCAGTATAACACGGTTCTGTTACACACATATATGTTACATACATATATATGTGTGTGTGTGTGTGACAGAACCACGTTATACTGGTAACTGTAGCTTGTAGTACAGTTTGAACTCAGGTAAAGTGAGGTTTTCAGGTTCATACTTTTTGCATAAAGTTGCCTTGGCTATTTGGGTTATTTTTTCATATACATTTTAGAAGTTTTTTTTAAATTCTATGAAAAATGGAATTGATAGTTTGATAGAAATAGCACTTAATCTGCAGGTTACTTTAGTCAGCCTGCACATCTGAATTATATTGGTTATTCAATGTCATGAGCATGGAATGCTTTTCTATTAATACTTGTGTAATTTCTTTCAGCAGTATTTTTTAGTTCTCCTTGCAGTGTTTTTTACTTCTTTAATGTAATGTATTTCTAGGTATTACTTTCTGTTAGTGTCTATTGTATATAGAACTGTTTTTTAATTTTGTTCTCAGCGTCAATATCATTAGTGTGCAGAAATGCTACTCATTTTTGTATATTGATTTTGTCTTCCGATACTTTGCTGAAGTCATTTTTAGGCTTAGGAATCTTTTGGTGAAATCTAGATAGAAAATTACATCATCAGTGAAGATAATTGGACTTTCTCTATTCTTACATAAGTGCACTTTATTTCTCCACTTTGTTGTCTGGCTAGGACTTAAAGAACTATGTTAAATAAAAGTGTTTACAGTACATATTCTGGTCTTTTTTCTATTTATGTAAATATTGCATCCACATTTGCTTGTTCAGTATCATGTAGCTGAGCATTTCTAATAGATGGCTTTTAGTATTTTAAGGTACATCTTTTATTTGCCTTGTTTGTTGAGAATATTTTCATAAATATTAGATTTTCCTGAGTGTTTTTGCATCTATTTGATTAATCATGTATTTTTTCTATTATTTTCAAAGGTAAATTGCACTTACTGACTTCCATATATGAAACGTTCTTGAATACATGAATACAACTCACGATTGTGGCAAAATACTTTTTCAAGAACACACTTTTCTAGTATTACATGGAGAATTTATGTTTTAATGTTCACAGAAATAATGACCTGTGGTTTTCTTCTGTTGCGTCTTCACTAGATTCTAGTATCAAGATAGTAGTGATTTCATATGAGTTAGGGTGGAATTTTACCATGATTTTTTGGAATACATTTAGTTGAGTGAGTACCAGCTCATCTTTATATATGTGGTAGAATTTGGCTATAAATTTACTTAATCCAGGGTTTTTTAATGGTTGGTATATTTCGTATTAGTCAATCTCATTTTACGTTTTATACATTTTTACTTGTTCAAGATTTTGGGGTTTTTTTTCGGGTTCTATCTTGAAAAGTTGTGTGTATTAAGATTATTTATTTTATATATATTTTATAGTTCGCATGCATAGAGATGTTCATAGTCATCTTTAAATAATTTTATTTATGTAGAATTAGTCATGATTTTACAACTCTAAAATTTAAATAGATGCAGAATAAAAGTTTGACACAATTTAACATCCCCTTATAATAAATCTCTAAAAACATTAGATATGGGAAAAATTATCTCAAGCCAATAAATCTCATGTACAGAAAAAAAATGCACAACTAAGAACATACCGAACAGGAAAATCTGTAAGCTTTTTCTCTATGAGCTAGAACAAGGATATTCACTTTCTTCAGTCCTACCAAACATAGTACAAAATGTCCGAGAAAGAGAAATTAAAGAATAAAATCAAAGGAATTCAGATTGAATAAAAAAATGTAAAGTATCCTGTTGGAGAATGGCATAATCTTATGTATAGAAAAGTTGAACACTTTACTAAAAACTATCAGAACTACTAAACAAAGTCATTGAACGTGTAGAACACAAAAGCAACATCTTAGTCAGTAGGATTTCTATACACAACTATCTCAAAATGAAATTGAAAAAGTCTTATCCACAATAACTGTAGTAACTATATTTTGAAATAGTCTACCAAAAAGTTGAAACACTTTACATTATACTCTAAAGTGTATTAAATAAAAAATTAAATACACAAATGGAGAAATATTACTCATTAATTGGCATTAATATTGTTAAATATTTGTATTACAAATAATCTATAGATATAATGTAACCTCTATCAAAATACTAGTAACATACTTAAAAAGGTGACAGTTCCTTAGGACAGATACTTAGGGAAAAGGTAGTATCTTCAATAAATGGTGTTGAGAAAACTTTATATCCAAACGTAAAGCAAAATGAGATTACCATCTCAGAATTTAAAATAAACTAGTTAAACGTAAAGCTAGAAACTCTGAAACTACTACAAAAGATAGACTAAAAGCCTCACTCCTAACATTAACTTCAAAATCTGAGAAATGAAAGGAAAAATGGATTAGTCATATCATTTCAGTATAAATCTGCGGCAGTCTGATACAATCAACATTCTTAGAGAATTAAACATGGAAGAAAGAATTTGCAAATTACGTGTGTGACAAGAGAATACTGTAAAAAATATGCAAGAAACTCAAATGGCTACACAATAAAAAATAAACTATGAGCAGCAGGCTGAATTTTTTTTTCTTTTTTGAGATGGAGTCTCTCTTGCACAGGCTTGAGTGCAGTGGTACAATATCGGCTCACTGCCACCTCTACCTCCCAGGTTGAAGACTGATACTCCTGCTTCAGCTCCTCTAGTAGCTACAATTTTAGGTATGTACCATCATGACTAATAATTCTAATTTTAGTAGAGTTGGGAGTTTTCTTGTGTTGGCCAGGCTGGTCTTGAACTCCTCACCTCAGGTAATCCACCCACCTCAGCCTCCCAAAGTGCTGGGATTACAGGCATTAGCCACCACGCCCAGCCCAGGCTTAAATATTTTTCAATAAAAGACATGGCCAAGAGATAAACTAAAAAATTCTCAATGTCAATTACTGCCAGAGAAAGACAAGCAAAAAATATCTATATTTATAAAATTTACCTATGAGAAAAACAAATACTAAAACAAAAAGAAATACTTATGAGATATTTAGTAAAATAAAAAGAAAACATTGTTAAAAATGTAAAGGAAATGCTTGCACACTGTTGGTTTGAACGTACATTAGGACAGACATTAAAAGACTAAAATAGATTTTTAAAAAAAATTTTAAATTGAACTACCACATAATCCAGCAATTGCACTTTCAGATATATATTCAAAATGAGAATGAAAAAATACTTGCACTTCTATGTTGTTTTCAGCACTCTTCACAATAACCCAAATATGGCATCAACAGTTCAACATCTAATACAAATGAATACAATATGGTATATGTATATAACAAAATTTTTTATTTTTTTAAAACATTGTTACTTTCAATCACATGGATTAACCTGGAAGATATTATTTGTTGAAATAAGCCAGTCACAGAAAGACTAGTATCTCATGATTCCACTTATAAATGGATACTTAAAAAAGTTAATCCCACTGAAGTACAGAGTAATACGGTGACCACCAGGTGCCAAGGTAATAGAAGAAAAGGGGGTGTTGGAAAAACCTGTCAACAAATACATAATTATAGTTGTATAGAAAGAACAATTTCAAGAGATTTATTGTTGAGCATGATGACTCTAGTTCATAAAAATGTATATGTATGCATAAAATATGCTAAGACGAGGTCATGTGGTCTCACCAAAAAAAGTTAACTGTTAGTTAACACATTAATTACACAGGGCTAAGTATTGGACAATGTATGTAGACTTCAAAATACTATGTTTTAAAAAATACCCATTTCATCTGTCAAGTTAAAAAATATGTTCAAAACTTTATAGAAAGTTAACAATATTTCAAATATGATCTGTATTTGTCATAAACTTGACTGAATAATATTAATCACATACAGCTTTGCACTGTTTTGTCTGTAAATTATAACCATAGAAACTTTGATACTTAACATCATGCCATGGACCCTGCACAGTATCTGAAAGAAGCCAATTTACTTTAGGGCTTTTACTTTAAGTTTGGGGCACCCGCAGTTTCTGGTGCTAATGCTAATGATATGGAAGACAATAAAATAGCAGGCAGTCCCATGACTGCTGATGGTCCCATGACTGGCCACTCTGTGAACACAGTAAACATATTTGCATGCAAAATAACAAAATATTTTAATTCAAAAACTGCCATAATGTTCACGTATTTTCCAAAGAAAATAACCAAGGACTGGCTACAGATAGGTGAATAAGTATAAAAACTGTATGCTGAACTTCACCCCCAACAAAAAATTATAAAATAACAGTGAGAAATTTCTTGATATTCTATGCAAATTTAAAATTTACAGAGGTAATTTTATTGTTTGGCAACTGCTAACATTCACACTTAGAGATTCTGCATGGAAACATAAGTTGTGCTGTAAGTATATCATGAAACATTAAAAATTTATTACCAGTTAGAAATTTAATTACCAAGATATATTTTATATTTGACACACTTTATGTAAGAATCTTTTAAATTTCTTTTAAAAAAAAAAGCTAAGTAAGAGAGGCTGAGACAGGGAGAATTGCTTGAACTCAAGAGATGGAGGTTACAGTGAGCTGAAATTGAGCCACTGACCTACAGCCTGGGTGACAGATCAAGATTCCAGCTAAAAAAAAAAAAAAAACAGAACAGAATAAAAAAAAAAATAAAAAAAATACCTAAAATCCTCATGACTCATGAAGCCTCCCAAGTATTTCCCTGAATATAATGGCTTAACAGATAAATTTATGAAAAGTCAATTATAAAAAGTTAAAGGAAAAATAACCAAGGAATAGTAGGCATATAGAGGTTTCTCCAAATGAACATAATGAATTGTCCTAAAAAAATATATAAATACACAAACTATGAAATTACATCTAAAAATCATTTTGTGTGCCCTACTACATTTTATGAAACTTACTAATAGCCTTACAATGAATACTTCTTAAAGTGCAAAACAAAAAACTAATTTTAAGAAACAGGAAAAGTATAGGTCTGTAAAATAATAAATAAAAGGTAAAGATATAGATTTGTATTTAGCATTATGAGGTTTTAAGTTTTCTAGCAAACTAGTCACCTTATGAAAATGTTTCGTTTCAATATTGTGTTTTCTGAAAATAGGTAAAACTCATACACAAACACATTCTACAATTCTATTACAGTTATAAAATATCATTAGACTAACCTGTATGTTTTAACTGTATGTAAATCAAAACAAAGTTTGTATGTAGGTAGTTCACATGTTCAAAGAAAAATATATAACAAAATTTTAAAAATACTTATTTGGGATATAGAAACGTATTTTATTTATACTTCTATATAGTTTTTATTATGACCATAAAAATAAAAGATACAGCATGAAGTAAATTGAGCTGAATTATATCATTTACTTTCCAAAAATTAATCTGTAAGGCTTTTATTGAATGTTATAATTGAATGCAATTATAACACTCCAATTTTCTTTTGTTAAAGTTATATAGCAATAATTTATCCAACAACTTTAGTTTTGGATGATGATCTACATGCAACACTCCAATTTAGTGTAATACCTGGAGAGTTAGTGTTAGTTATTTCTACTGTTAATTACTGATGTTGAAATAGACTTAATTTCGAAGTAAATGTTGTTTTCATAGTTACTGCATCTGTAAATATATATTTTACTATGAATTCTCCGGTGTTTTCTTAGTTGTCACTTTTGAACAATTCTTTAAACTGATTACATGTATTAGGGTTTTTCCAATATAATATAAATTTCCTGATGTTGAAGAAGTTTTGAGAAACTGCTTCAGGTTTTTTATCTCTAAAACAAACTGCATAATAACATCTATGAAACAATGGTACTACAAGCCTCTTTATATTTTTAACGTTATTCTTAAAAATTAATGCTTCTTCACTTTAATGACCTATTTTCTGAAAGCTATTTTGAGAATTGCACTTACAATGTTTTAAAGTATAAACCCTTGGATGTCGAGTAAGATATGAGTAGGTATCAACAGCTTTTCCAGTTATTTGTGGAATTTTCCTCTAGTATAAATGCTTTCTTGTGCAACAAAATATGAGTACTAGCTGAAAGTTTTGTCACATTTTTAAAATACATAGCTTTTTAGAGTGTCAATTATCTTACTAGCAATTAAGAGTGACAACTACTTAAAGGCTTTGACACATTCTTAACATTTCTGGGGTCTAGGATCACTATATTTATTTTATATTTTTAAGTTTGAGGTGGTGTGAAAAGATTGTCTCATCTTTCAGGTTTGTAGAGTTTCTCTTCAATATAAATTATGTCTCCTGAGAATTGAGAAGTTGTAAAAGGCTTTGATACATTCTTTATGCTCATACAGTGTCTCTCCAGTATGAATTGTAATAAATGTGTTGAGAACTTTTTAAAGTCTTTGTCACATTTTTCACATTTGTTGGAATTCTCTCCAGTATGAATTACCTTATGTTTAGTAATGGTTAACAATATATTAAGGGCTTTGTCACATTTTTAAGATTAGTAGTTTCCACCCATTGTGTATTATTTTACATTCTGCAGGGTTTAAGAACTAGTTAAAAAGTCTGCCACATTCTTCACAAGCGTCAGAATTCTCCCCAGCATGAAGTTGCTTATGTTTAGTAAGGGATGATAACTGGTAAAAAGCTTTTCCACGTGCTTCAGTATGAAATAACTTTGTTTACTTAGTGCTGATTCACAAAAGCCTTTGCCACATTCTTCACATTTGTACAGGGTTTCTCATCAGCATGAATTCTTATGTTTACTAAAGGTGAAGAATACACCAAAGCCTTTGCCGCACTGTTCACATTTGCAGGATTTCTCTCCATTATGAATTGTTTTGTTAAGATTCGAGAAATGGTTAAAAGCTTTTCCACATTTCTATTTATTAAGCTTCTCTGAAGTATAAATTCTCTTGGCTTGATGGCTGGTTAAAAGCTTTGCCACATTCTTCATATTTGAAGGCTTTCCCTCCACTATGAATTCACCTATGTGTAGTAAGGTGTGAGGACCAGTTAAAAGCTTTGCCACATTCTTAACATTTGTAGGGCTTATCTCCACTATGTATTCTCTCATGTGTAGTAAGGATTGATAACCGGTTAAAAGCTTTGTAACACTCCTTACATTTGTACCGTTTCTTTCCAGTATGAATTATCTTATGTTTACTAAGGTCTGAGGAACAGTTAAAAGCTTTGGCACATTCTTTACATTTGTAGGGTTTCTCTCCAGTATGAATTCTCTCATGTGCAGTAAGGGTTGATAACCAGTTAAAAGCTCTGCCACATTCTTTACATGTGTAGGGTTTCTCTCCAGTATGAATTATCTTATGTTTAGTGAGGTCTGAGGAACAGTTAAAAGCTTTGCCACATTCTTTACATTTGTAGGGTTTCTCTCCACTATGAATTCTCCCATGTGTAGTAAGGATTGATAACCGGTTAAAAGCTTTCCCACATTCTTTACATTTGTAGGGTTTCTCTCCAGTATGAATTCTCTTATGTGTAGTAAGGTCTGAGGAGTAGTTAAAAGCTCTGTCACATTCTTTACATTTGTAGGGTTTCTCTCCACTATGAATTCTCTTATGTTTCCTAAGGTATGAGGAACAGTTAAAAGCTTTGCCACATTCTTGACATTTGTAGGGTTTCTCCCCACTATGAATTTTCTCATGTGTAGTAAGGATTGATAACCACTTAAAAGCTTTGCCACATTCTTTACATTTGTAGGGTTTCTTTCCAGTATGATTTATCTTATGTTTACTAAGTTGTGAAGAACACTTAAAAGCGTTGCCACATTCTTTACATTTGTAGGGTTTCTCTCCACTATGAATTCTCTTATGTGTAGTAAGGATTGATAACCACTTAAAAGCTTTGCCACATTCTTCACATTTGTAGGGTTTCTCTCCAGTATGTATTCTCTCATGGGTAGTAAGAATTGATAACCGGTTAAAAGCTTTGCCACATTCTTTACATTTGTAGGGTTTCTTTCCAGTATGAATTACCTTATGTCTATTAAGGTCTGAGGAACAAATAAAAGCTTTGGTACATTCTTTACATTTGTAGGGTTTCTCTCCAGTATGAATTCTCTTATGTTTACTAAGGTGTGAGGAACAGTTAAAAGCTTTGGTACATTCTTTACATTTGTAGGGTTTCTCTCCACTATGAATTCTCTCATGTGTAGTGAGGATTGATAACCACCTAAAAGCTTTGCCACATTCTTTACATTTGTACGGTTTCTTTCCAGAATGAATTATCTTATGTCTAGTAAGGTGTGAGGAACAGTTAAAAGCTTTGCCACATTCTTTACATTTGTAGGGTTTCTCTCCAGTATGAATTCTCTCATGTGTAGTAAGGATTGATAACCACTTAAAAGCTTTGCCACATTCTTTACATTTGTAAGGTTTCTTTCCAGAATGGATTACCTTATGTCTAGTAAGGTGTGAGGAACAGTTAAAAGCTTTGTCACATTCTTTACATTTGTATGGTTTCTCTCCACTGTGAATTCTCTCGTGTGTAGTAAGTATTGATAACCACTTAAAAGCTTTGCCACATTCATCACATTTGTAGGATTTCTCTCCACTATGAATTCTCTTATGTTTAGTAAGTTGTGAAGAACAGTTAAAAGCTTTGCCACATTCTTCACATTTGTAGGGTTTCTCTCCACTATGTATTCTCTCATGTGTAGTAAGGATTGACAACCGGTTAAAAGCTTTACAACACTCTTTACATTTGTAGGGTTTCTTTCCAGTATGAATTATCCTATGTCTAGTAAGGTCTGAGGAACAGTTAAAAGCTTTGGCACATTCTTTACATTTATAGGGTTTCTCTCCACTATGAATTCTCTCATGTGTAGTAAGGGTTGATAACCGGTTAAAAGCTTTGCCACATTCTTTACATTTGTAGGGTTTCTCTCCAGTATGAATTATCTTATGTTTAGTGAGGTCTGATGAACAGTTAAAAGCTTTGGCACATTCTTCACATTTGTAGGGTTTCTCTCCACTGTGAATTCTCTCATGTGTAGTAAGAATTGATAACCGGTTAAAAGTTTTGCCACATACTTTGCATTTGTAGGGTTTGTTTCCTGTATAAATTAACTTATGTTTAGTAAGGTCTGAGGAACACTTAAAAGCTTTGGCATATTCTTTACATTTGTAGGGTTTCTCTCCAGTATGAATTTTCTCATGTGTAGTAAGGATTGATAACCGCTTAAAAGCTTTGCCACATTCTCTACATTTGTAGGGTTTCTCTCCATTACGATTTCTCTTACGTTTAGTAAGATATGAGGAACAGTTGAAAGCTCTGCCACATTCTTTACATTTGTACGGTTTCTTTCCAGTATGAATTATCTTATGTTTAGTAAGGTCTGAGGAAGAGTTAAAAGCTTTGCCACATTCTTTACATTTGTAGGGTTTCTCTCTACTATGAATTTTCTCATGCGTAGTAAGGATTGATGACTGGTTAAAAGCTTTGCGACGTTCTTTACATTTATAAGTCTTCTTTTTAACAAGTCTTATCTTATATCTATTTGAATATAAAAATGTATAAAAGACCTTTACATATTTATAACATACATATGTCTTGCTCTGTGTAGCCATCACACATTTAAGTTTACCATAAACTCTTTTCTGCATTTTACAATCATCCACGCTTTCACAGACTTTTCTTAGTGGTACATTTTCATCTCCACAGTTTTCATATCTTCTCAGTATCACTTTTGGAAATAATTGTTTTGTGGCCTGCTCTGGAGATAGGTCTTGAGCAAAATAAGAACACGTAACTGAAAAAAAATAAAAATAACAAATTACTCCATTTGCTAGACTAAGATTTGTTTACTCTATATATCTAACCTATAAAATTATACAAACTGCATAAGCAAGATGGCATAGAAAAGTACCACAGGCAAAACTTTCTTCATAGACATATAAATCCAACAAAAAGATACTGACCAAAACATATTTGTGGAAGATTTGTAAATAAGTTACTTGTGTTCAGTACCCCAGGTGAGCACAATGCAAAGAATCACATAAAACAAAAAGTCTGTTACATTTACCCAACGCAGACCCAGCAGAGCTCTTCCTGCTCCCCAAACATAATGTAGTGTCTTCAGAAGTAACCTGTCAACGTTTTTTTTCTTTAAAAAGAAAAATTAAAAAAACAAATAAATAAATAAATAACATAAACCCCAGAAAAATAGTGTTTCTATTTCTGGCATCTAAGAGTCTTTTCACACACTGGTTTCTGTCTTCCGTGGCATTAAATACTGAAAAAAAAAAGTGGTGGCTAACACGGTTTGGTTCTGTGTTTCCACTTAAACCTCATTTTGAATTGTGGCTCCCATAATTCTAATGAGTTGTGGAAGAAACCTGGTAGGAGGTAACTGAATTCTGGGGCTGTATATTTTCTAGGTTTTTCTTGTGATAGTTAACAAGTCTAACAAAATCAGATAGTTTTAATAAAGGAGAGTTCCTCTTCCCACGCTCCCTTTCTGACTGCCACCGTGTAAGATGTCACTTTGCTTTTCTTGTTTTCTGCCACGATTATAAGCCCTCCTCAGCCATGTGAAACAGTGAGTCTATGAAACTTTTTTTCTTTATAAATTACCTACTCTTGAATATATCTTTATTAGCAATATGAAAGCAGACTACTACAGTAGTATTCTTTGGAATGACAGTTTGAGTCAATAAAACCAAAGGTAAATGCTACAGCAGTAGAGAGACTACAGTAAAATAGAGAGAAAACACATGTAGCAAATGAGGACTGGCCATTAAACAGAAACACTAAAAAATTTCAGACAAGATACATCCTAAGATCATGTCTGAGAGACTCCCAGAATCTCTAGCTAAACCAATTGGTTTTAATGTACGTCAGAAAACAAGCTACATTATAAAGACTGTGACAAGTAGAGTTTTTTAAATGTTCCAATCTCAATAAAAAATTACAATGCATAAAAAATATTACAGCAAAATAACCCCATATAAAAATTATAAACTGTTCAGAAAGCAACTATAAAAAATAAAGATGTATAAATTTTTAAAAATTTAAATAAAATACTACTCAGTGAGTGAAAGAGAGACAACTATAAAGAAATTATAAAACTAGAATAAGCACAAAAACTAAAAATATCAAAAAATTATAAAGAAAAAATATAACAAGTAAAAAATTCTAGAAGAACATATGAAAAAAGATAGAAGCTCAACAAATAAACTAGGATACACACAAAGATATTTATTACAAAAACGATTTTAAAAGTCACAGATGAAAAGAAAATCTTGGGTGCCCCAAGAGAAAAGTGATGTGTGATTTACAAGCACAGTCTTTTAAGATAACCAGTGAATTTGCCAATAAAAAATGTGTAGGCCAGAAGAAAACTGCTATAGTCAAAGTCCTAAAAAAAAAAAAAAAAAAAAATCTGTTAAGTGAGAATACTATCAACAGCAAAACTGTTCTACCAAATACAAAAAAACTAAAAGAAACCTTTCAAAATAACTAACTTCTGAGAAAGTATATTGACACTGCGTGTTTGCTACATATCAAAAATGATAAAATGAGTTTATTTCACTGAAAATAACATGATGCAAAAAAACAGCACCTAGTTATTGAAAAATACATTGTTCTTGGAAAGATATGCACATACAAAGAAATAGAATTCTTTAGCATTCTCATAATCGTGAAAAAAATTTTTCATTATTCTTTAAAATTTATAAAAGCCTAGAAATATTTAAACATGTTAATAAATGTAAAACATAGAAATATAATTAGTAACATAAATGATAAATGAGAGCAAATGTAATGGAGAATACTTGCTTGCAACTGAAGCTATTTTTTAGAATTTTAAAATATATCGTTGTATCTTTTTTTATAAAGGTAATCAAATGTCAACTTTATTGTTGTCATATAAACAACTTTTTGTACTGAAAACTATAAAAATAGCATGAAGTTTGCTCTTATTGTGACCTAAAACTTTTGAAAGCCATAAAATCTAATTATTATGCTCTAGTTAGACTAGCCAATACTTTCTTTATCCACAAGTAACTTTCCCTTCACTGACTTTGGGCTTCTAAAACACATGGGAATACTGTATCTGTTGGATTCTTTGGGTCAAATTAAACAGCAGAGCTCAAGTTATTCAAATGCATTCAAACTACACAGATCCCTTATAAATTAGTAACAAAGTAGGAAGAAAAAGCTACAAGAAAAATACATCCTAAAACTCATTATCAAAATTATTGGTGTATAGTCTATACTAGCAGAGAGTAGGTTTCTTGGTCTGCTATATAAAATTAACAGCAAGGAAAAAAAGTGCAATTATAAGGTTTATGGCTGAAGTGGCTTGGTGTCTTAATTCCTTATTCCAGCATTTTCAGAAGGATCTCATCCTCTAGACATGCAGAAACTGCAGCAACACTATAACATTCATCTTATTGATGCATTCTTAACTTTCTAAGCCCAGTTTTCATTAGTGTCCTTTCATGCTTCCTAGGACCTCTGCCTAGTAATACGTATCTGAATCTTGCCATCCTTTCTCTCTGCACAAACAGCAATGAATATTGAAAACTAAAAATTTACACTGATAAAGTTGGATCATTCTCTTGAGTTGTATACAAAAAAATAGTTTACATAAAATACTCAGACACAAATCTCTCAGAAACAAAATAAGGGAAAGACATGACATTGGTCGTGGCACCATTTTATTAAGTATAACATTAAATGCAAGACCAACAAAGAAAAGAACAAAAATATTTAACTACATTATAATTTAATATTTCTGTACATCAAAGAAAACATTCAATAGTGACAATGCCTTTTAGAAAATGAGTGAAAATATTTACAAATCACATGTGATCTGAGTTAATATTCATAATAAATAACTTAAAATTTAAAAATAGAGTTGAATAATTTGATTTAGAAATGGACACTTAATTAAATGAAACATTAGAAAGAAGCATTTGGGGGGGAGGACTCAAGATGGCGCTGTGAGAACAACCCAGGATTGAGGCTCTCGCTGGATGCGCGGAGAGGCCGCTATAGGTGCACCCCAGACAAGCAAGGCCTGGAGTGGACCTCAGCAGTCGTACAGCGAAGGGGCTAGACCAGTAAAAGGAAAACCAAGTAACAGAAATACTCCATCATCAACAATCTGGGTGTCAACTCAGAGACCCAATCGAAAAGTCAGCAACTACACAGACAACAGGTGGATAAATCCACAAAGATGGGAAGAAACCAGCACAAAAAGGAGGAAAACACCCGAAACCAGAACACCTCACCGCCTAGAAAGGACCAAAACTCCTCACCAGCAAGGGAACAAAGCTGGATAAAGAATGACTGTGACGAAATGACAGAATTAGACTTCAGAAGGTGGATAATGAGAAACTTCTGTAAGCTAAAATAACATGTTTTAAATCAACGCAAAGAAACTAAGAACCTTGAAAAAAGATCTGAGGAAATGATAACAAGAATGGATACCTTAGAGAGGAATATGAATGAATTAAAGGAGCTGAAAAACACAATACAAGAACTTCGCGAAACATGCACAAGTTTCAATAGCCGAATTGAACAAGCAGAAGAAAAGAATATCAGAAGTCGAAGATCAGCTCAATGAAGTAAAACGAGAAACCAAGATCAGAGAAAAAAGCACAAAAAGGAATGAACAAAGTCTCCAAGAAATGTGGGACTATGTGAAGAGACCTAACCTACGTTTGATAGGCAAACAAGAATGTGATGAAGAGAATGAATCCAAGCTGGAAAATACTCTTCAGGACATTATCCAGGAAAATTTCCCCCACCTAGCAAGACAGGCCAACACTCAACTGCAGGAAATACAGAGAACACCACAAAGATATTCCGCAAGAAGAGTGACCCCAAGGCACATAATCGTCAGATTCAACAAGGTTGAAATAAAGGATAAAATACTAAGGGCAGCCAGAGAGAAAGGTCAGGTCACCCACAAAGGGAAGCCCATCAGACTCACAGCAGATCTCTCGGCAGAAACTCTACAAGCCAGAAGAGAGTGGGGGCCAATATTCAACATCCTTAAAGAAAAGAACTTTCAACCCAGAATTTCATATCCAGCCAAACTGAGCTTCAGAAGTGAAGGAAAAATAAAATCCTTTGCAAACAAGCAGGTACTCAGAGAATTTGTCACCACCAGGCCTGCTTTACGAGAGCTCCTGAAAGAGGCACTACACATAGAAAAGAACAACCAGTACCAGCCATTCTAAAATCACACTAAATGCTAAAGAGCATCAACATAATGAAGAATCTCCAACAACTAACGGGCAAAACAGCCAGCTAGCATCAAAATGGCAGTATCAAATTCACACATAACAATATTAAACCTAAATGTAAATGGACTAAATGCACCAATCAAAAGACACAGACTGGCAAATTGGATAAAAAGCCAAAACCCAGCAGTGTGCTGTATCCAGGAAACCCATCTCACATGCAAGGATACACAAAGGCTCAAAATAAAGGGATGGAGGAAGATTTACCAAGCAAATGGAGAGCAAAAGAAAGCAGGAGTTGTAATCCTCATCTCTGATAAAATAGACTTTAAAGCAACAAAGATCAAAAGAGACAAAGAAGTCCATTATATAATGGTAAAAGGATCAATACAAGAAGAGCTAACGATCCTAAACATATATGGACCCAATGCAGGAGCACCCAGATACATAAGGCAAGTTCATAACGACTTACAAAGAGACTTAAACTCCCACACAATAATAGTGGGAGACTTTAACACTCCACTGTCAATATTAGACAGATCAACCAGACAGAAAATCAACAAGGATATCCAGGGCTTGAACTCAGACCTGGAGCAAGCAAACCTGATAGACATTTACAGAACTCTCCACCCCAAATCCACAGAATATACATTCTTCTCAGCACCACATCACACCTACTCTAAAATGGACCACATAATTGGAAGTAAAGCACTGCTCAGCAAATGCAAAACAACTGAAATCATAACAAACAGCCTCTCAGACCATAGTGCAATCAAGTTAGAACTCAGAATTCAGAACCGCACAGCTTCATGGAAACTGAACAACTGGCTCCTGAATGTTGACTGGATAAACAACGAAATGAAGGTAGAAATAAAGAAGTTCTTATAAACCAATGAGAACGAAGACACAACATGCCAGAACCTCTGGGACACATTTAAAGCAGTCTCTAGAGGAAAGTATATATAGCAATAAGTGCCCATATGAGAAAAATGGAGAGATCCAAAATTGACACCCTACCGTCAAAACTGAAAGAGCTAGAGGAGCAAGATCAAAAAAACTCAAAACCCAGCAGAAGACAAGAAATAACTAAGATCAGAGCTGAACTGAAGGAGGTTGAGACATGAAAAACCCTCCAAAAAAAATCAATAAATCCAAGAGCTGGTTTTTTGAAAAGATCAACAAAATAGACCACTAGCCAGACTGATTAAAAAGAAAAGAGAACAACCAAATAGATGCAATAAAAAATGATAAAGGGGAAATCACCACAGATTCCATAGAAATTCAAACCATCATCAGAGAATATTACAAACAACTCTATGCACATAAACTAGTAAACCTGGAAGAAATGGATAAATTCCTGGACTCCTGTGTCCTCCCAAGCCTAAACCAGGAGGAAGCTGAAACTATGAATAGACCAATAACAAGGTCTGAAGTTGAGGCAGCAATTAAGAGCCTACCTCACAAAAAAAAAGCCCAGGTCCAGACGGGTTCACAGCCGAATTCTACCAGACACACAAAGAGGAGCTGGTACCATTTCTTCTGAAACTATTCCAAATAATCCAAAAAGAAGGAATCCTACCCAAATCATTCTACGAGACAAACATCCTGATACCAAAACCTGGAAGAGACCCAACAAGAAAAGAAAACTTCAGGCCAATATCCATGATGAACATAGATACAAAAATCTTCAATAAAATATTGGCAAGCCGATTGCAACAGCAAATCAAAAAACGTATTCATCATGATCAAGTAGGATTCATCCCGGGGATGCAAGGCTGATTCAACATACACAAGTCTATCAATGTAATTCACCACATAAACAGAACCAAAAACAAAAACCACATGATTATCTCAATTGATGCAGAGAAGGCATTTGACAAAATTCAACAGCCCTTTATGCTAAAAACCCTCAATAAACTCGGTATCAATCGAACGTATCTCAAAGTAATCAAGAACGAACTGCCATTCACAATTGCTACAAAAAGAATAAAATACCTCTGAATACAACTCACAAGGAACGTAAGGGACCTCTTCAGGGAAAACTACAAACCACTGCTCAACGAAATCAGAGAGGACACAAACAGATGGAGAAACATTCCATGTTCATGGTTAGGAAGAATTAATATCGTGAACATGGCTATACTGCCCAAAGTAATTTACAGAATCAGTGCTATACCCATCAAGCTACCATTGACTTTCTTCACAGAACTGGAAAAAACCACCATGAACTTCATATGGAACCAAAAGAGAGCCCACATAGCCAAGTCAATTCTAAGCAAAAAGAACACAGCGGGGGGCATCACACTACCGGATTTCAAACTATACTACAAGGCTACAGTAATCAAAACAGCATGGTACTGGTACCAAAACAGAGATATAGATCAATGGAACAGAACAGAGGCATCAGAGGTAACACAACATAGCTACAACCATACAATCTTTGATAAACCTGACAAAAACAAGCAATGGGGAAAGGATTCCCTGTTCAACAAATGGTGCTGGGAAAACTGGCTAGCCATGTGTAGAAAGCAGAAACTGGACCCCTTCCTGACACCTTACACTAAAATTAACTCCAGATGGATGAAAGACTTAAACATAAGACCTGGCACCATAAAAACCCTAGAAGGAAATCTAGGCAAAGCCATTCAGAACATAGGAGTAGGCAAGGACTTCATGAACAAAACACCAAAAGCAATGGCAACAAAAGCCAAAATAGACAAATGGGACCTAATGAAACTCCACAGCTTCTGCACAGCAAAACAAACAGTCTCTAGTGTGAATCGGCAACCAACAGAATGGGAAAAAATTTTTGCAGTTTACCCATCTGACAAAGGGCTGATATCCAGAATTTACAAAGAACTCAAACAGATTTACAGGAAAAAAACAAACAAGCCCATTCAAAAGTGGGCAAAGGATATGAACAGACACTTTACGCAAGAAGACATATATGAGGCCAACAATCATATGAAAAAATGCTCATCGTCACTGGTCATCAGAGAGATGCAAATCAAAACCACATTGAGATACCATCTCACGCCAGTTAGAATGGCGATCATTAAAAAATCTGGAGACAACAGATGCTGGAGAGGATGTGGAGAAAAAGGAACACTTTTACACTGTTGGTGGGAGTGTAAATTAGTCCAAACATTGTGGAAGACGATGTGGCGATTCCTCAAGGCCTTAGAAATAGAAATTCCATTTGACCCAGCATTCCCATTACTGGGTATATATCCAAAAGGACTATAAATCGTTCTACTACAAGGACACATGCACACAAATGTTCATTGCAGCACTGTTTACAATAGCAAAGACCTGGAACCAACCCAAATGCCCATCGATGATAGCCTGGACTGGGAGAATGTGGCACATATACATCGTGGAATATTATGCAGCAATCAAAAATGATGAGTTCGTGTCGTTTGTAGGGACATGGATGAATCTGGAGATCATCATTCTCAGCAAACTGACACAAGAACAGAAAATGAAATACCACATATTCTCACTCATAGGCGGGTGATGAACAATGAGAACACATGGACACAGGGAAGGCAGCACTACACACTGGGATGTATTGGGGGGAATAGGGGAGGGACAGCGGCAGGGGCAGCTGGGGAGGGATAGCATGGGGAGAAATGCCAAATGTGGGTGAAGGGGAGGAAGGCAGCAGAACACACTGCCACGTGTGTACCTATGCAACTATCTTGCATGTTCTGCACATGTACCCCAAAACCTAAAATGCAAAAAAAAAAAAATTTAAAAACATAATACAGAAGGTACCTCTGTGTGAGAGCAAAATACAAAGTCCTCGAGCATCCCAGAAACTATTTCCTTTGGAACACAGCTTCCCAAATCACATTTTAAAGACTGACTTTCTTTTAGACTTTTGGACCTCTCATCTGTTGCATTCATTCTCACATACCTGGTGGTTTGGCCAAAGTCTCATGCCTCTTCATATTCCAAGGCTCTTTTCCTTGCTCCAGATAGGTGATCAGGTCTGGCTTAGAAAAAGCAGTACCTGTTTTATTAAAAATAAAGAAAGAAACATGAATGTTGCTCATATTCTCCAGTTCTAAAGTTAGTAATTTGCTCTGTAAGAATGATAGAATATCCTCATAAATAAATCCCAAAATAATTTACAACTAAAATTTTAAAATATTTAGAAAATATTTTAAATTTGTATGTATATATACATATGTATATATACGTATGTATACACACGTATATATGTATATATACGTATGTATATATACGTATGTATACACACGTATATATATATATATATATTTTTTTTTTTTTTTTTTTGAGACAAAGTTTTGCTGTTGTTGCCCAGGATCGAGTGTAATGACACAATCTCGGCTAACCCACCACGTGGGTTCAAGCAATTCTTCTGCCTCAGCCTCCCGAGTAACTGGGATTACAGGCATGCACCACCACCCACACATAATATTTTGTATTTTCAGTAGAGACACAGTTTCCCCATGTTGGTCAGGCTGGGATCAAACTTCCGAACCCAGGTGATCTGCCCACCGTGGCCTCCAAAACTGCTAGGATTACAGGCATGAGCCACGGTGCCTGGCCTAAATTTGTATGTTCCAAATTTAACCACCTAGTGCTATTGATTCAAAAATTGGTGGTGGAAGGCCAGGCACCATGGCTCATACCTGTAATCCCTGCACTATGAAAGAAAGAGGCAGGCAGATCACCTGTGGTCAGGAGTTGGAGACCAGCCTGGACAAAATGGTGCAACCCCATCTCTGCTAAAAATACAAATAAAAGTAGCAGGAGGTTGTGGTGTGTGCCTGTAATTCCGGCTACTCAGGAGGCTGAGGCAGGAGAATGGTGTGAACCCAGGAGGTGGAGGCTGCAGTGTGCCAAGCTTGCACTACTGCACTCCAGCGTGAGAACAGAGCAAGATTCATCTCAAAAACAAAACAAACAATAATTATATAAATAACTGGTAGGTGGCAATTAGATTTTTAGGTGTAGAAAACAGTATTTTAAGCCACCAACTTTCTGTCATTACCAATAATCTAGAGTGAAAAACACAGATCAGCCTAGGAATGTGGATAATTCAGATCAACATGAAACATCTTGAAGATATTCCTCTCTAAACAAATTTCCAAAACTTTTTTCAAAACTGGAATCTTAATCTTATCTATACAAAGCAAAAATTACCAAAAACATTTTACAAATAAAATAAAATAAAACACTTAAGGTATATTATGAATGTGTATTGAAGTTATTCTCACCAAGGAAGACCAGGTTTCTGTAGTTCTCTAGCATCACATCTCTGTATAAATTCTGTTGTGCAGTGTCCAGACATTGCCACTCTTCCGGAGAGAATTCTATGGCCACATCCATAAACGTCAATGGTCCCTGATAAACACACATACAAACACACACACACATCTTTATCAAGCAGCCATGGGCAGAACTTTTAATTTGACTAAAGATAAAATGAGAGTAAAAAGAAGTGTTTCTAAGTTATGGGAGAGGACGAAATCTATGAAATAATTCTCAACACAGAAATATATTCTAATGTATTCTCTAACTCTGTGTAAGGAGACTAGCATAACCCACAACATCAGTCAATATATTATAGTTTTTTGGATTACCAAGTATAAAATTCAGGGCATAAACACAAATGTACATTATTTTATTTTATTTTTATTTTGTATTGCATTTTAGGTTTTGGGGTACATGTGAACAACATTCAAGACTGTTGCATAGGTACTCAGATGGCAGTGTGTACAAATGTACATTTTTAAGTGCTGTATTTACATCAAACAAAATCAGCTGTGTACATTTTTCAGATGAAAAAGACATGCTGAGTTAGAAGGTACCTCTTAAATTTCAATGTGTACCATGAACGGGAGATCTTTTCGGCAGATTATTTTTTTCAGAAGATCTGAAATAAGGACTGAGTTTCTGAATTTCTAACAGATTCACCAGTAATGTAACTGTTTTTAGCCTGATAAGAATATTTTGTCAAACATCCAGTAAATGAAAGAACCTGTTCTTCCCAGTTTCTCTGGCCCATAAACACAAAGAAAGAGATTTCTGCAAATTGGCCATGTAATTCTAATTAGAAGCCTGGGCTGATAATCACTTCGCTAAGAATTACCTCTCAAGTTTGAATGACCTTATAAATCTCTTGTTAATTTTGATCTCACTCCAGGTAATGTGATTCTGGAGGTTTGCAAAGGGTCCATAAGTGGGTGTTTTAACCAAGTCCACTGTCAATGCTGATGTTGCTCCCCCTGGTCTCATCATTAGAATTAGTTAGAGAAAACCAGCACAGCACAAAATCCCTTAAGCTCAGCACTCTTGTCACAACACATATAATTTTGGTACAAATGAAGACAACCAGTCTCTCTCCATCCTACAATATCATATTATTTGCTGGATCTTTAGGAGGAAGTAATGTGTGAGTAAGTCTGCATTTGGAAAACAACATGTACACAGTTATTAATGCAATGCTTACAAAGCAAGTACCATGTGATCAAGAGTATGTTACAGAGAACTATGCTTGGAATAACATATGAGATTTAATCTTCATAAAATCCTGGGATTGGTACAAAGTGTCTAATAATTCCCATTATTTAAATAAAGGGCCTAGCACTTTTATTTACTTTCCTGTTTCTCTGTAATTGGTTGTTAAAAAAAATGTATAGAATAAAAACTAAATATAGACAGATGAGAGGGATACAGAAAAAGAAAAGAGGTTAATGCAGTTTAGAGAAATTGTTCTTGTATTTATGTTTACTATCTTGTTAATCATTTAACAATTAGTGGATATGAAGGGATAGAAAACAAGCTGCTAAAATGGAAAGTCTCTGCAAGCACTGGTGTTAATAGAAAATTTAAAAATTAAGACCTTAAAATACATATTTGATGTTTTTCATTTTTCTCCTTTTGGGTTTCAAGAAACTGTGTGCAACAGCTCTAGAAAGGTAGCAGGATTCATCAGAGCACAGTGACTCACGCCTGCAATTCAAGCACTTTGGGAGGCGGAGGCAGGCGGATTACGAGGTCAGAAATTTGAGACCAGCCTGGCCAATACAGTGAAGCCCCATCACTACTAAAAATACAAAATTTAGCTGGGGGTGGTGGTGTGCAAAGGGTGCTAAGGAGGCCGAGGCAGAGAATTGCTTGGAATCCCAGAGGCAGAGGTTGCAGTGAGCTGAGATCACAGCACTGCACTCCAGCCTGGGCTACAGAGCAAGGCTCTGCCAAAAAAGAAAAAAAGAAAACAAGATGCCAGGATTCACCACCCAAAACTCTGATTTTCTCTAATCAGGTCTGAGGCAAGACTCTAGGGTGGGGCCAAACCTAAATGAAGCCCCCAAATAAGGTGATTCTGAGCAGAACTGGGTCTGGGAGATTACCCTATATACAATTCTACTCTCTATGCCTCTGAGGGGCATTTCCAGTTCCTATGTTTTTCCTATGTTTACCTAAGAGAAACTTAAATGCCAGAGTTTGTGTAATTTTTATCTTTTTTAGCCACTGTTTTCAATTTTATAACATACACTAATAGGCAATTAAAACAAATATTTTAAGATTTTCTAGAATTATTTTCTTAGAAGATAAATATGTATTCTTAGCAAGATAAAATAAAAATTGTTAAAACAACTATTTTGTCCCTAAATATCTCTTAAGATGATGACATCAGAAGTCACAATAATATAAAGTGGTCCAAGTAAACCCTAAGATTTCTTGCATATGTCTATTTATTGCACCAATCATATAATTCTTTCTTTTTTCTTTTTTGAGATGGAGTCTTGCTCTATCACCCAAGCTGGAGTGCAGTGGCATGATCTCAGCTCACTGAAACCTCCCTCTCCCACATTCAAGAAATTCCCTGTCTCAGCCTCCTGAATAGCTGGAATTTTAGGCACCTAATACCACACCTGGCTAATTTTTGTATTTTAGTAGAGACAGAGTTTCACCATCTTGGCCAGGCTGGTCTTGAACTCCTGACCACGTGATCCACCTGCTTCAGTGTCCCAAAGTGCTGGGATTACAGGTGTGAGCCAATGCACTCAGCCCCAACTTTATGATTCTTTTTTTTTTTTTTTTCCTGAGACAGAGTTTCACTCTTGTTACCCAGGCTGGAGTGCAATGGTGCGATCTCGGCTCCCTGCAACCTCCACCTCCTGGGTTTAGGCAATTCTCCTGCTTCAGCCTCCTGAGTAGCTGGGATTACAGGCACACACCACCATGTCCAGCTAATTTTTTTTTTTTTTTTTGTATTTTTAGTAGAGACAGGGTTTCACCATGTTGACCAGGATGGTCTCGATCTCTTGACCTCGTGATCCACCCGCCTCGGCCTCCCAAAGTGCTGGGATAACAGGCTTGAGCCACCGCGCCCGGCCAACTTTATGATTCTTAATTCAACAATGTATCTAGTTGCTAGTCTAGAATAAAAGTTCCTGGATGGTAAAAAACATAACTGTTTCAAATATTTTCTGAATGGTCATAAAAAATAAAAAAATACTTTATTTGTTTGAGTCTCCAGATCTTGTTTTTCAGCCAAGTTCCAGGAAACTGGAGAAACTTTCATCTGGATACCAAAGATATCTTTTGTATGAGGGGAGGAACAAACACAAGCTGACTCATTTCTCTTACACTGAGACTTAGGAGAATTAACCACTCTTGTCTGACTGACAAAGTTCTGCTGTGGATATCCTCAGATTTCTCAATGACATCCAACTGATTGTGAGAGGGATTCCAGTAAGCCTGGGCTGATGGCCCAATGGAGCCAGGCAGGGGAAACTCAGGCTTATTCTAAACAGAAAATGGAACTGCCCTGGTGTAGCTCCAGAACCTGGATTACCTTGTCCTGACTAGCTAGCTCTTGGGTAAGAGGAAGCAGAATAATACTGTACTACAGAATCACATTTTACATGTAGGTGTAGTTGTGATTATGCTCTGGATACACTGTGGTCTTGATCTCTCACTCCTAAGATGCTTTTTTACACACGCAGATTTTGCAATCTGATTCTGTTTACACCTGTAGCCTCTCACATAACTATAGCCGGTCACTGGATAAGAGGTGAAAAGCTCAAAGAGCCACATTCTCAAAAAGAAACTTTAAACATTTATTGTTGACATCTAACCTGCAGAAAAGGCCTCTTGTTGATTTTCAGTACATTTTTAATTCTATGTCTGGCCCTGTTTTGTAATACTAGGCAGAGGCCAGAACTTACGCGCAGATTCTAGGTGGGATCAACCAGGCTCTGCATTCTTGGGTGTTAAAGCAAGTGGAGTAAAATCAAATGAGAAAGCCCCTCTAACAGGCTGCTCTAGTACATTCTAAGTGATATGTCTACATAAAAAGAAAAAGCCAAGTCAATGTGAATATGAGTAGACAGTGTATTTGAGCCAAACTTGAAGACTGTAACTTGGCAGCAAAGATTTAAGTTGCCTGGAATCTATACTTTAATTAGCAGTAGTTACCAGTGAATTTGTAAAGGTTAAAAAAAGGACAGAGAATGAGCTGATACAAAAATTCTTATTAATTTACAGAAATAACATTAATTATTGATTAGATACACATATAGATTTAGGGTTTGGGTTATGGTGCCCAGTGTGATATTAGTAGTTTAATTTATAGCTACTAATGACAGCGAACAGCTATGAGATAAATATAGTTCAAAGACAAATAATGACAAAATTTTGCTCTCATTTTAATGTATCGGAGGAGTTTGACAACTGAAAGAATTTGCATTTCTCAAATAAAAGGTTTTTTTCCCCCCCAAATCTCAAGATTCAGAATTTGGATCTGCAGGTCTAGGTCCTGGATTGCTGGAATAGCAAGATATTACCTGTATCTTTGGGCATTATAGTAAGAGGAAATTTTTGGGCCTTTTAGCAAGAGGAGGAAGGGGTAACTGGAGATTCTCATGACTACATGTCACTACCCTGATTGGGTTTCTGGGCCAGCCTCATGGTCTGTGAATCAGTTTCAGGTCTGAAACACAAGAGTCACTGAAAGAAGTAAAATGATTGATTGCTGCCCTGTGAAGTTTGTAAAAATCTGATCTAGCCTCTCTAGAAGTGACTGTAGGAGACTACAGATAGCAAATACGTAGAGACACAATTCTGCCTGCATATTCAGGGGACAGCATGCACTCTGCAGCACAATTATGAGTTTACTGGAAGGCAGAGGGGAAAAGTCCTTGCTAGAGTTAAGCTTGGTTGGCACCTTATGTGTTTATATCATTTCTGATTATTCTAGACAGTATTTGCAAAGTATAATTAAAAGAAAAATTATCTCCAGCCCCAGAGAAAATCCACAATAATAGAAAAGAGAAAAAACTGTTTTATTATGCAATTTAACTAGAATGTTACATATATCAAAGTTAATCTGT